ATTTCTTTTCATCTGACTGAAACTTGTCTTCCTGGTTATCAAAGTAAATCTTGACTTGACAAACAAAGCCTCTACATTGCTCTGCAGATCCATCAGATTTATCAGGTAATGCAAAGCTCACCGTCTTCGCCGTGGTCGATGGAAGAGACTGGATGTAGTGAGTCAGGTGCTCATTGACAGACTGGAGTTTAGCCAGTTGATCCTGGTATCCCTTTAATACCTCACTTTGATAGGCGAAGGCTGCTTGCAAGATTGAAACTTCTGCTGGATTCAGTTTTCAGGCTGAGGCGGCGTTAGAATCCATTTGCAGAAATGTATTAATAGAAGATTTGAGTGACAGAAACGTTAGGCCAGGCAGAGAGTCAATACCATAACAGCAGTCCAATCTTTCAACATACACAAGGGAGATCCAAAAGGCAGAGACGAGTAAGCAGGCAAAAGGTCCAAACACAATCATCAGTCCAAATCAGGCTATCAATCCAAAGGGGTAATTCAGTAAATGTAGAGCAGATAATCAGGCAGAATCATACACAGAATAGGCAGGCAGAAAACAATGGAAATGCTCGGTAAGGCAGGTAAATTGGCAATACTTCGCAATGAGCAAACACTCAGTTTCTTGGTAAATACTGATCAAACAGGAAATCTTCTTCTTCTTCTTCTTTGAGGTTTAACAGCGGCTTGCATCCAAGAGCGTTGCATTACCGCCACCTTCTGGATTATTCTCCTGCAATGTTATTCCATTTTATTTCCTCCAGCTTGTTTTCCACAATCATAATTTCCTCATCAAACCCGTTCTACTTAAGAAATTAGAAATATTTGTCCTGCTTTGTCTAATCACCCCACTTTGCAATATATCTTTAATACCTGTCCCTACCAACCCATCTCTTCTTAATTCTTCCATCATATTTCTCCTCTGATCTTCATAACTTCTGCAACTTATAAGAACATGTTCTATGGTTTCTAATGTCTGACAATATTCACAAAAACCAGTAGGATGCTTCCCTATAATGTGTAATGTACTATTTAAATTACTGTGTCCTATTCTTAATCTTGTCATCACTATTTCTTCTCTCCTAGTCCCTCCCCAATTCCTCTCTGTACCAACTTTATTTTGAATGGCGTACAAATGTCTTCCTTTAGCTTCCCTGTCCCACTGCAGTTGCCATTCTCTCATGGCTTCTTTCCAAACTATACTTTCCCCTTCAGATTTTGACATCTTTATATGTACTTCAATATTCTCTTTTTTAATTGCTTGTTTAGCTCATTTATCCACTCTCTCATTGCCCAAAATGCCTATATGAGCTGGGGTCCAAATCAGTCGAATCTCATTAAATTTTTCCTTTACTCTTGTATATGTTGTTAATATTGCATATAACAGATCCTGACGGCTATTGGACATACCTGTCCTGAGACTGTACAGTGCTGACAATGAATCACTTCCAATTAAAACTTTACTCATTTTGTCCTCCTTTCTAATCCATTCTAATGCCATCATGATAGCATATAACACAACTGTATACACATTCAGATCATTCGTGGTTCGTTTGCTTTCCTCACCTCCTTGATTAACTATAAAAATTGCTGATCCAGTCCTTCCTGTTTCAGGATCTTTCTACCCATCTGTATAAATTTGAATATAGTCTCTGTATTTATCATCCACATATTTGTAGTATTCAGCTACAAGGTCTATACTATTGTTTATCGTTTTGAGTTGATGTAATTCAAAATCAACTTCCATGGTTTCAATCTTCCATACAGGAAAGTCAGGCCATACAACAGTTGGGCAGAACTCTTTTTCACTCACCCCCAAATCTCTAGCTGTTTCATCTCCTATCCATCCAAAACTAAACTTTGGCACCCTTTCCTTTTCCCAGCTAGTTTGCAGTTGTCACGGGTGCACTGCTGAGCGGACTGAGGAGCAAGGAACGGGGGTGGGCACTCTGGAGGTCCCTCAGGACAGACACGGGACAGTGGGCCGCCAGAGCGGTACCCGTTCGGGGTGCCATGGCGGATCAGGAGCCTCGGGAGGCCATGGCGGATCTGGAGCCTCGGGGTGCCATGGCGGAGCAGGGGACTCGGGAGGCCATGGCGGAGTAGGTAGTTTAGGAGGCCACGGTGAAGCAGCCTCCGAGGCCCCAGCCCCCGCCTCTATGGCTGGAGCCTTACTAACCCCCACCCCAAAAAAAATACTTGGGGAAATTTACAGGGCTGTACTCGGGGCCTGGAGCCCTCCCTGGGCTTAACGGGGGAAAAGGAGCCCTCCCTGGGCTTAACGGGGGAACAGGAGCCCTCCCTGGGCTTAACTGGGGATCAGGAGCCCTTCCTGGGCTATACTCGGGCTGGTCAGTCAAGCACACCAACACCATGGTCATTTAATCAACTTCATGAAATCAGCATCTTCAAAAAGATGGTCAGCAGAATGAAGCATGAAGTGCTCCAAAATTTCTTGGTAA